GATCACGTCAGGATCACGTTGCGTATGACATCACTGTGAAGAAGGTGCCATTTTGAATAACCAAAAAACTTTGAATCGTACAACAATGTTTTGATGGATGCTGTGTTTAATATCTTTGAACAAGACCGTGAAACTTTTCAAACAGCGTAAACACACTTTTTAGGAACATTGAGGGAACGGCGCTACTGCTTACCCGACATAACTTTCGAAGCATCATGACAAGATGCAAACTTCATAATCAACATCAGCAAATTCTATTAGCTTAGTGTGAAAGTTCAAAGCGTTTTGTTTTTGGGGCAAAACATGGCCATGTATGACTTAAAACCCCTTCCAAAGTTCCCATTGTAATCCCACAACAAAAGAGCAAATGGTGACTCGCTTTCATATCGCAAATCTAAGTTAAATCCAGCTCTACAATGTACCCAAAGCTTCTCGGAAGACTTCTTGATGAGGGAGTTGTTCAAGGTCAGACGTTCAGTACATCTTTTTGGGACATCCTGTACATTTGTACATCAGCCACGCTTCGGCCTCAAACACTGAAGACACGGGTTGTGACGTGCTTCGCTAAAATCTGCCTTATATTTGTAAAAATTTTGTTAATCGAGGTACCTGTAGCAGCTCTATAAATTTTCAGCGTCCCAAAATATTGTTTCTGCTAATTGTTAGTTACAGATGCTTTAGTGCACGCAATGTTGTTTGCTTATAATTGAGCTCAAAAATATTGGAAAAACACTGATGTTCAAGATTGCAAGCGGTAGATTTTCAGTTTTCTTAAAATAAAAATCATCCGACTTTGTAACATTCAAAACCTCAATCAAGATACACTATCTCAATAGACTTGGATTGGAATTTCTCTCCAGTCGAGCCTTGATGGTTGTAAAATGGATAATGCTTGAGAAGGCTCTTTTCCTTATTCCTCTTCTATAATACCTCTAGTCTAAATCTCACAAAAAGCTCAAATATTCCCTGACTACTATTAGATTCTACTCACAATAAAACGCATTGTAGTTAGCTTTCGGTAAGAATTTAGAATACCATTTACAATTTCAGGTTGTATGTTGTGATTCTACGGGAATTAGAAGGCGTATTCAAAGTTCCACTGGATGTGATTCCATTCCTGACAGCTACAACAGATGCAGACAGTTTGATCTTGATGTAAGCTATTTTAACAATGTATACCATACACTTATATCGTTTCCCGCCCATATTTTGTCTATAGTTTGTCTGACAATCAGTTAAGAACACCCGGCAAAAGCCTCGGTGAGATTACAAGTCAATGTCAGAATGGTGTCACTGCGATTAAAAAAAGGGTTGAATAAAGCCAAAGTATCTTTATGATAGCACGATGCACCGGAAATTCCGCAGAGCGTTTAAAAGTTTTCGCCGGGTCACCTGCGAAAATTCTGTAAACGTGCTGCGGAATTCTCAAATGAAGAGAATGTTACAACAGCAAAAGAAAACAACTAAAAAAGATTCAAACCTTGCTCTTTTGACTGCGACTCACTTACTGTTCTCAGCACTACGAATGACACGTTCGACAATGCACTTTTAGCTGTTGGTGAAATATTATCGTAAGAGCGTAACATTATCGTAACACACTCAAACCTTGCGGAAGTACTGCCAGGTCAAAGTGCTGCGGAACAGCTGGCCTTTTTCGGAATTTCCGCAGTTTTTGTCACAAGTATTACGGAAGTTCCTTTCTTCAATCAGTCTAACGTGAAAATCCTGAGGAAATTCACATTTTGTTTTTTTTTGTCAGATTTTGCTTGGGCTGCGGAATGGCCAGTGAATTGTTGAGCTCGGAGTATCACCATGAATTTGGCATTGCGATTATTATTCACATCAGCGAAATTGTTAAACGATCTTAAGCTGAACAAGCACAACTGTAAGAGAATGGATGATAAGGTACAGTGCAAGGAGGATGTCTGTCTTTGACGAGAATATGACATCTGCGCACTAAATAAAACCTTTGGAGTATACATAGGTCATGAAACTACAGCTTGTTTAGTATCTTTTCTTGCAGTGGAACAGAGGAGAACAGACAATTCGATACGTATAAGATATAGGCAAGAAAAGCAAACTTCGCTTGTGCGATGAGGAAGTACTGTAAAACGGAGACAACTTTGATAGAAATACCTTTTCTCGAATTTTGGAAATCAAGAAGTCAATAAAGGGAAGCAAAGAGCTGGCCGAAACTCAGGAGTCTTTGTAAAGTAATATTTACATAGGGAAAGAAGTTATGGCTCTTTTTGAACATCCACAACTGTCCATCTACGCACTTCCTTCCCAGTGAGTATCTCATCAGTTCCATTTTAGACAATTTATCGGAACTTTTGTAGGCCAATAAAAATTTGCAGCGGTGTCGCAAAAGTGGGAACGATGAAAATGAAAACTTCCGCAGAATCTTCATGTCAGACTGGTTGATAATGGGATCTTTCGCAGGGCTTTTTACAAAGCGCTGCGAAACTTCCTAAAAATGGTTCCGCAGCACCTTGACCTGCAACAACTTTCGCAGGTTTATGAGTGATGTCTCTTTTGATGTCTTGTAATCAACGACTGCCGAATATGTCATTCGTAGTGCAGAGGATAGTGAGTGAGTCTCGCAATCAATAGAGTAAGGTTCGATCTCGCTCAGGTTTTATCCTTTGCTGTTGTGATTAGCATTCTCCGAGACTTCTGCAGCACTTTATTTGGGAAGTTTTGCAGCACGCTTACGGAACTCCCACAGGTGACCTCGGCGGAATCTTTCCAAAGGTTCAGCTAAAGTTCCGGAAAGTTGTCTGACGAAAAAAGGCATGCTAAACGAACAAACTTATTATCAAGCTCAGAATGTCGTAAGCATTATTAGGTGCCTGAGTTCAATTAAAGAGTAAAATTATTCGTTGGAATTCTTTTCTTTTGCAGTTTGTTTTTGAGTAACCTTAAAGCAAACCTTAAACACCAAAACTTCTAGAAGATGTCGTACTTACGTGCAACATGATGGACTATTTGTCATTGTTTAAATACTTCTTGGTAGAAACTAAGCGAAGCAACGAAAAAAAAGAGAACTCGATTTCTGGAAAGCATATGTTTTTTGTCACAGAAACTGTTTAGAAAGGCGTAATTTCTGCGCTCGCTCAAATTCTCATTTGTCACGAGCATGCATTTGTTCGACTGCGCTCAAATTTTAGTGTTAGGAGATTAATGGTAGTTTAGGCGAATTGTATCATAAAAGATCAGGCGAAATCTTACCATAAACTGTTGAGCGCACTTTTCACGATTTCTGTTGAGATTTATTTTTTTTCTACAGAATTCACACCATAACGTCAACGCGCATATTTTAAATGCGTATATTGGTATAAAGGGATGGTGATTCCAGCTTACCATCACGCTTCGGTTTTAATTTCAAAAAAAAAATCAGTACTCACTCCAGTAAACATACCAGTATCGGGGGATTTTACTCTTCATTGCACGCCTCTATTTTCTTGAAATTCGTCCAAAAAACTTTTTCGAGAGGGGCAACCTGGGTTTAGACTTAACAGTTACGCAGTGCTAAACTTCCAAAAGAGAAGAGGCTTCTGGTAAGCATTACAATCTATGTTCAACTTATCCACATTTGGACAAAATTTCTGTCCAGCTTCTCTCTCCTGCGCTAAAAAAAATCCTGGAACAGTCCTGTGCTAAAGTCTTTTCATTGAGCGAAAATGGTTTAATATGGCATTTTCTTCACTTAAGGACCTGGAGGCGCGATTTGAATGTCCCATTGTCTTACTGGAAAGCTCTCACAATTTTTCCAATAGCCTCTACAAAGAGGTGAATTTCAAAAGGTAACGAGTTTCAAGATGTATTGAAACTGTGAGCGCCAACGTGCTCCAAAAAAGAATTTGGCAAACTTTATCAAATTTGCAGGACAGGGCGTTAACGACTTCTGAGTAATAGCGGCTAATTCAGGTTTCAAACGTAGTTTTGTCTTCGTTCTAGCTGCTAACAACAAGTTTTGTTTCCCAACCCAGCGCTAGTGGTTCTAATCTATCACATTACATAAATCTGTCACATCACATATCAAATTCAACAGCATCAATTTCAACCTTTACAGTTCTGGCGCTGTACAATGCACCTTGCAAGCCTACGTAAGCATCAAAATCAAAGAAGCAAACAGAAAATTAGCTTTCGCTTCAAGGTCCTAGTGTGGTGTTCTCCAGCTGTCTACTACTGAAACCGCACTGCTTTTGAAACTTCTCAGGCGAAGACAAAGGTACGCGAAAAAAGCAAAGCTTATCTTGTCTAAATCATAAAACTGAATAAAATTCTTGTTGAAAATTATTTCTCCTGATAAGTAGAGTGCCTAATCGCACGGAAGTCGAAACTTGAAAAACTAAAAATGTAAAATTATGAGTTCTTGGAACAATTTTAATGCACCTTAGAAGTATGTAAATAAATGGCAAGGCTTTTTACGATAAGACTTTCTTCCAACAGACTCCACTTAAGCAATGAAAATACTAGGTAGAATTCGCTCTCTTTTTAAAAAATCTACAAAATAAAGGAAAAAGAACAATAGATGATCCACTGAATACCATCTTACTCAGCTCCATCCTTTTCTTCATTTCCAGCAAGTTTTTAACTTCTGCTTACGCTCTTATAGGAGACGTTTTCGATTTCAATGCTGCTCTACCTAACCAATAATGTGTTAATTTTCGGGTCGAACTCGCATCTTTTTATTGTGTCAATCTAAAAGCAATGTTTACCAGGATGAAGTGCACCGTACTGCCTTTGTTCTTGTCCATGTTGGGACTAAACATGGCTCTGCCTGATTTCGAAGCCGGGAGATCTGCTCGCTACAATGAGAATATTCCAATGGGAAGTGGGCGTATGACAAGTGGCCGAAATGATATGGAACGCGGGAATGGTTTTGCTGGTGGGCAATACTGCTTTTGTTCTTGTACATGTTAAGCCTAAAAATGGCTCTGTCTGACCTCAAGAATGGAGATCTGCCCGTACAATAGGAATATTCCAGTCGGCATGGATCGTATGAGAAGTGGCCGAAATGATATGGAACGCGGGGGGAATGGTTTCGCTGGTGGGCGAAACATCATGGACAAAAAGTTTGGTGACCGGTAGGTTCATTAGATTTTGGAAGCAAGACCTCTGATCCTTTGGGAAAACCTTTGTGAACACAGGACATGGTAAATTACAACACTTTGGGTGTATGAAAATGACCAAGATCTTAACATTTATCCTGATTGTCTCTATGTTTCTAAAATTCTATCACTTGCTTTACTTCAAATGGAAGTTACAAGTTTCCTAAAGCTGATTGTAGATCGTCTATGAAAGGAATCAGACTACAGTAGTTAGCGTCAAGATACTAGCATATCTTCATAGAAAATCGAAGACCATAACATACATTCGCTGTTTGTCTTTTCATCGAAAAAACCTTTCACTTGATTATGAAACTTGCTGCGCTCTTTTGAGGGAAACTGATTGAAGAAAAGGAAAAATCGCTGAAAGACAATATCATGAGTTTCAATATGCACGCGAATGTGGAGATCATTCGCAAATCATTTTAAGACATACTTTTCCCTTTTAATGCTACAATCAAGTGGAAGCTGTGAGTGTGAGCGTGGTAGTGTTTCTTCTTAAAAGATGACCAAAATATTTTGGCTGACACTGACAGCCTTAAACTAGTTTGTGCTCTTCTCAATCAATTGTGGAGCAAGCAAATAGTCACTTTTTCTTAGCTTCATCAATGTGCGAATCGGGTCTTTTGGAAACTCTCATCAAAAATATTCATCAATGCTCATTTAGCTTTGTTGGATGTCTGAATGACTATGAATAGTGTAAAGGTAATAGATAGGGTCTTATTACATACAAGTCAATGACAATAAACAATGTAAAAGTGGATATTAACAATTTTCTTCACCGCCTTCTCAGAGAAGGCTATTTTTTCAGCCAGAACATTGGTGAATCTCTGTTGTTCGCAGCTTTCTTAAAGATGAACTTTCCGTCAGCTTTTAAAAGGCTAGGACTCGAAAAGAAGATGGAAAGGGCTAGAAAACTTGATAGATGGTGAATGTGTAGCACGCGCTATACTTTTTGATATCCTCGATCCTAATGTGACATCGAATAAATCATTTTTGTCAAGACAATTTCTGTACTTTACATGTGACTTTAATAAAGCTTTCGGCATGTTCTCGATGCAAAAGAAGGTGAACAGAAGCAAAATCAATGTGTTTTCTATCTAATGCGTTTGCTATTGAAATTTTCCTGCTATATCCCTGTTAATTCTTTAGTGATTTGGTAAATCTTCGTTGCTTTTGCTATAGAGACTCGATCTAAACCACATCGCTGATTAAGCTAGTAAAAATTGGTACTGCAATGAAATCGCCAATCCTTGGATGCAAAACCCAAAAATTTGCAGATAATGTAAAAATATACTTTTGCTGCAAGGTGTGTAAGAAAAGTATTCAGGGCCTTTGTCAAAACAAAATGTGATGGTACACCACGGAACGAGCGTTGTAGTGGTATGAGAGGTAGCTACGGCCGGGTCAGACCAAGGTTCGATTCCGCCCCTAGACTAACCGAACCCTCTACTCTCCAGGACCGGTAATTAGGTTCCAGAGTAATCTGGAAGAATAAAAGCACTGACCTGGCAACCAACTTGCCTCGCCAAGTCACTGCTGTAGGCTCGCAGGCTCAGCAGCCTTTTCGACTATGAAGTAAAGTGCATTCTGCGCATGCGCAAGGAGTATAGAAGACGCTAAAACCTTTTTTCTTATTTTATTTTTAACTTTTATTCCTGGGGTTGGCCTTTTTTCGAAGGTCGTGCATATTGTAGACCCTCTACGCCAAAAAAGTACAAGCTGTCTTATTAGGAAAAATTTTTTAGCTTTGCTAGCGCATTTCCTGCTTCCGGTCTAATGCTATAGCTTCATACTTAGGCTAGCGTAACCGAAAGTTATCCATCTTTGAATGGCACTGAAAATCCACCGCCCAATGCTTTAACTCCCTTTAAAACAGGGGAAAGGGGGGGGGGAGGAGAAGGAAACTTTTTCTTTGGATGGACGCCCACTTGCTAAGGAGGAGCCAACGTCGCGAATCCGTCTTCCGAAGGATTTTTGAAGCGATTTTTCGCTTTGGAAGCAAGTTCAGACAGCTCGAGTCGGGCAGCTATACAGTTGAGGGTCCTGCAACTATTAGACATCAAAATCTCATAGACCCTATTTCGAGTGCCTTTAGAGGGACAAAATCTCGTTCTCCGGTTTTTCACCTTTTCGGAGCCTTCTCGGATTCCGAAAGACATCCGGGCGGATTTTAGGCTTTCCAGAGACGCATCGCATTTTCACTCAGACTTTAGGTTAACTAGAAAGTTTACCATTGCAACACTATAAAGTTCCAGCATTTTGAGAGGACGCTGCCTTCGAGGTTCGCTAGATTCTATCAAACAAGGTCTATGGTGGTGTATGTCCTGTTAAGCCTCCAGCAAAATGAAGAAGTTACCCTAATCCACGAGTACAAGACACACCTTTTTCACTTTTTCGAGCAAGCAGTTCGGCCGCGTCACTGTGCCTCGCAAAATGATCGCTCTCCCACCCAATCCTTTCATGTGAAAAGCAACAGGTCGGGCTTCGTTTGGTCGCGAGATTCTTTACGTTCAGGCTAATCGAAATGAGAAAAAAACAGTCTATTTCTCGTTTTCTCGTTTGCTGAGTAAAGAGCGCACCTGAGGGTTGGAATTAAGTTAATTGATATGGTATGTGGATATGACACACAAAACAAAAAGATAGCCTTATATTAGATGAGCTGGCTTTTCATCTACGTCCGGCCCAGTCAAAACACTATGACAAAATTCCATACCTATCCCTGTACAACCTTTCCTTGTGCCCATTTTTACATTTCTTTGCTCCGTGTTGTTTTGAATTTAGCATACCCCTGTGCCAACTTCCAGCCCCGTAGCTCGAACTTAGCAAAAATAAAATCGATGAAAGTAGTAAATAATTCTAGACACTGATGATGTATTTGTAATCAGCATAATCACATCCCCTGTGTCAACTCCTAGGCCCGCAGCTCGAGCTTTGCCGCAAAAAATCGACAAAAATCGATATCGATCGACGACGAAAAGTAGCCGACGAACCACTCCCCCGAGGTATTTGTGTGCCAAGTTCGGTCCATCGGTTGAGTAAAAGTTTCTTTTCGCACATACTTACACACAGATATACGAACATACCAGTGGCGGTCCCAGGATCACGGATCGGAGGGGGGGGGGGCGGAAAAATTTTTCTTCAAATGAAGGGGGCGTTAGCCACGCACTCCGAAAAAATTTTAGGAGTACTTCTCAAAATTTTTGCGGGTCCCCAACCCCTAAAATCTGGGAAAAGGGGGCGTGGCGTCAGCCACGCCCCCGAAAAAAATTTTTTTATAAGGCTAAGTTGATTTTTTAAAAAGTTTTAAAAATTATTTTAATTATTTACAAAAATAAACAAGTCGTTTGCACATTTTCATAATCCATATAACTAACTTTCAAAAATTTCGCGACCCATTCTCGGGGGGGGGGGGCGCCCCCCCCTCGGACCGCCACTGCAACATACAGACAAACAGACATTCAGCCTCATACATAAGCTGTTTTTTCAATAATTCTCAACCTTAAAAGCCAGCAAAGTGTGATTAAAATCTGTGAAAAAAGGAGTGTAGTTCTAAATGTATCATCAATTTTATTTGAAAAGCCCGATCAGATCATTCACAACTCTGCAGTAGTTATATCATTTCAGACGATTTTTATTGTTAGTTTTGGATATTCAAAGATCTACTAGTGGCTAGTAGCGTTTTACTCGAACAGATTTATTTTTTATAAAATGCAAACGATATAACAGGGGCACACAGCTACAGCAACATATCAATCTGTTCACCTTCCTCTAGCTGCCATTTGTCTCAGTGTAGCTAGAAAATTCGATGTCTGGTGGAACATTAGTAGTTCGAGCAGTCGCCAAACTTCGAAGTCAACTTTTTCTAACTTCTCTTATTTCTTTAGTGAACAACGTTTGGGAGCTTTTGTTTCCTTCTCTTGTTGGTCGAGTTGTCAGCACATTTGCGAATCGCAATTATATCATTCTTATCAATATACTTTGCCTGCTATGTTAAGGTTCGGAAGTAAAGACTATGACCCGTAGTAAAACGATTAGTTCAGGTGAACTGACTTAACACATCAGTAGAGCTTACGTCAGGTGAATTGATGACCACTGCCCACCTTCCCATGCTATAAGCATGGGAAGTGAATTGACAGTTGGCCATCCGTCCACCTGTTGCAGCCGACTGTTGCACATCAGTTCACGTTCAGTTGAGAAAAGATGATGTTGTTAGATTATGCATATAGTGTGAAAAAGAGAAGACGCAAAGAAGACTTCCGTAAGTTGCTCCTGAGTAACTTACGATACACATTAATTTCTAACACTGCGGACGAAAGGCGCAAAACTGCACAATACGAGTGCCCGAAAAGGAAAGAATTGATGAACAGCTGCTTTTGGTGTGGAAAGCAAGAAAACAGGTTTTTTTCCTTTTTGTAAATTTTGCTGATTTTTTTAGAGGCATCTCAAGGCAAAAGTTTATTGATTCAGTTCATTGAGTTCATATTGCAACCATTTGATTTCTTCATGCAATTTTCGTCAAAAAATATGTTTTTTACTTTATCCATGAATGTGTTAGGCAAAATCCTTAATTGCGGTCGTCATCAATTTTGCGATAGTGGTTATCAAAGACCCCAGGCGATACAGCAAAAGTGTGACGCTGGCAATTGTTGAATCATGGGCGCGCGCGTTCAATTCCAGTCGCTTAAATGTTCGACCAAACCGGCTCAAGTGGTTCGTTTTTTAAGAACACACATGATTATCATAATTAGAAAGCGATCGGCATCGAAACCAATAGCCCACTGGATGCTGGACTGAGGCGTCCTACGTTCAACGTAGGTCCGCACCAGTGGAGTTGCACTGATGGGCGTTTACTACGGGCCCATATTTTTGTGAGTCCAGTGCAATGAGTGGATTTATGGCAAATATCCGAAATTTTATGTTGGACTTTGTACGTCAACTAAAGTTTTGTATCATATGTGATAGGCAATACTTTGCTATCTCAACGACCTACCGACTAATAATAGCCAGTAATATTTTCTACATGTTCTGTAGAGGTCTTTGATCATTTGCAAACCAAGTTTTTTGCTGAAATTTGCGAGCATTATTTACAATTCTGGATATGGCTCAGAATTTGCCGATAACCTGAATTTTTCACACTAGAATCAAAATTTTGTTACACTCGTGGTAGACATGATGCCACAAAACCTTGCACCTACTTCAAACCGTCAAAGAATTTTTTCAACAAGTTTCAAAAATGCCTCAATGGAAGATTACATTTTGTTAGCAGATGAAGCTAAAAGGAAAAAAACAAAGGTTTTCGGAAATGATAGCGGTGCTAATAATTTCTTTTAATGCAAAGACTTCTTCAGTCCTAAAACTTTCTGATAGCCGTGTAATCAAATGAGGCAAAACTGCTATGAACTTATCGTGGCCGACGTTACTTGCAGTGGACAATGTCTTATGAAGTGTTCTTCCTCCCCTTTTGATCTCGTTGGATGCGTGCATTGCCTTTCTACGTCGTCGTCAACATTGACGAGAATTTGAGAATTGACGAGCTATCCCTATAAATCAAGAATTCCAGACATTTATCAATGATGTGCATTATACTTTCACCTTTACACTGCTCTGAACCTAATAAATGTGTCAAATTTACAGTCAATGATGACGAATGGATTCGCTGCATGGATGGGTGCACGGTGTGTGTTCAAGCGATTTACACTGCTTCCCTCAAAACGCAATACCCACTTAAGCCCTAAGTGTCAAAGTGTGCCATAAATCTCTTTGTGTTATGCATACTCAAATGATACAAGTATTCTCTCCAATCACGTAGTCGCTATTGCACCAAAAATTTTCTAATCGAATAAAAATTGCTTTGATTGCCATAAAGTTTCAATCAATCCATGGTTTTTGCATGTGCAGTTTGAGCATAATATTAGGTTGGTCCGAAAGTTCTTGCGCATCATTTTCAAAAAATCATAACTTCCTTGCCACTCGATGGAT